CTAACGATTGTAATGACACTCAGCACTCAACAACACAGTCCTCATACACTGCATATATGTTCATGTATACAAAGCCTCCAAAGCCAGCAGAGAAATTATGTTTTCAAAAACCAAAAGTACTGGAGACTTCAGAATGAGTCACAGATTTCAGGGGTCAGTGCAGGCAAAGAAGAGCCTAGGAATAAACATCTACCTTGCCAGAGTCTCCCGTTTATTGCTGGGGAAACCATCGAGAGCCATGAAAACACATCCCTGGGTTGGCCAGTGGGCGCTGGAGAGGCCCTTGCTGTTGGCGGCTGCCCAGGGGGCTGTGGGAACTCTGTGCCAGTCTTCCCTTCCCAACTTCCTTCCCTATAGCAACCCCCAAGCTCGCATCGGCAACAAGGCCCTTTCCCTCATCCGACTCAGTCTCCCTCCTTCCCGCACTGTCCCACCTCCCCTGGTCTTTGTCCCTGAGAGGTGGCACACAGGGCTCTCTGGGCTGGAGAACAGGCAGTTCGCCCCAGCTCTAGGCAGGACCAGCTGTGAGCTAAACGCCTCAGCAGCTCCAGTTTGGAGAGTGCAATGGAGAGCTCTGAGACGCTAAGGGATTTCTGCTATCACTTGTCATTTTAAGAAATGACACACGTTTTCTCTCTGCTCAAAACAAACAACCTCCATGCCATCTCCCACCTTGCTTCTCCATCTCTTACTCAGTTCTCAGAGCACATGCGCTGGATACTTTCTACTGACAAGCAACTGCTGGTTAAGGCTTCGCTGTTACAAAGCTGCATACCATCAGAGCGCCACGATCACCCAACCTCCTTTTCACAGGTGAGCAAAGAGATTCAGAAGCAATGCAGCTTCCTCAGTGTGACTCAGGTCATGTGCTCACACTGACCCGACATGCTAGGATCTGAATGTTTGTGCCCACCCCACCCAAATTCCTGTGTTGAAACCTAATGTTCAATCTGTTGACAGTACTTTTCAAAGGTGATTAGGATATGAGGACGGAGACTTCATGAATGGGATTAGTGTCCTCAAAAAAGGAGCTAAAAGAAAAAAGAGGCTCCAGGGAGCTCATTTGTCCCTTCTACCATGTGAAGATGCAGTGAGAAGGCACCATCTATGAGGAATGGTGTCACCAGAAAACAAATCTGCTAATGCCTTTATCTTGGACTTCCAGCCTCCAGAACTGTGAGCAATAAACTTATGTTGTTTATAAGCCAGACAGTTTATGTTTATGAAAGCAGCCCAAAGAGTATAAAACAAAAAGTATTCAGTCGTGACTTTAACACCATTACAGCCAGCTGCAAAGTGAGGGGGAAAGAGCAAGCAAGGCATCTGGAAAACAGTGATAGGATTTGTTCCAGGGTCAGGCACAGTGGCTCGGCCCCAGCACTTTGGGAAACTGAGGTGTGAGGGTAACTTCAGAAGAGGGGTTCAAGACCAACCTGGACAACATAGTGAGACCTCTTCTCTACAAAAAATTTAAAAAATTAGCCAGCTGTATTGGCACATACTTGTAGTCTCAACTACTCAGGAGGCTGAGGTGGAAGGATCACTTGAGCCCTGGAGTTTGAGGCTGGCATGAGCCGTGATCATGCCACTGCACTCCAGCCTGGGTGACAGAGTAAGACCCTTTCTCTCAAAAAGAAAAAGAAAAATTTTTTTTTAAAAAAGGATTTGCTCCAGGAACTGTAGAATACCACACAGCTGACTTAAACCAACGTGGTAAATGTCAAAAATTCTATGGAGCAAATGACACAAGAAATATAAAGAATCACCATTAATAGAAGGCTGAGAAACAGGCAAAATTAAATGATGTTGTTTAGGAATGCACAAATAAGTGGCAAAACTAGAGACGGCAAAGATTACTGTACTCAGGATGAGGGTTTCATCTAGGTGGGGAGTATAGGTACACAGATGGGGGGGTTACTTTATGACTATTAAACTTGTTTTATGTATTTTATGTTTTATGTACTTTTTCTGGATGTCATATTTCACATTTTATAAAATGAATTACTTATAATAAAAAAAAAGTGGAACCAGTAAGTCTCCTCATTAAGTCCATGTTCATTAATTTCTGACTCCTAATCCTTTCATAACTAACTTGTAGGCCAAATGTCAATAAATATAAAGATCACCTTCCCAAGTTATTAGTTCTTTTTATCTCCAGAGTAATAAAAGCAGTAGAGGTGAACTGGAAGGATATGGATCATACCTCCTCTGAGAAGAAGCCCTGTCAAGGGCAACCTTGGGCCTGTCTTCACCTCCTATCTTAGGAAGGAATAAACAAAGGACTCCTCTCCTAGTCAGCAAATACTTGTCAAGCTCTTTCTACAACCCATGGAGGTTTCCACAAAATTTGTGTTTAACACTAAATGCTGCTGAAGGACTACCAGGTCCCAGGGGCCTGGGGGCTTCTGCTCTTCTAGGAATCCAACTGTTTCCTCTTCTATATATCCCAAGAGAAAAAGTTACCAAGGAAGGGCTGGGGACAGGGGAGCTCTGTGGAGCCTCACAACTAGATACACAAGCAGTGTTGGGTCATGATGGCAAGAATAACTTCATCACCCTCCAATGCAACGCTCCCCACCTCGGAGTCAACCTTCCACACCACAGAGTCAGGAGGTGGGAACTGGTCACACACACATTGCCCAGTGGAAGGAGGAGGCTTTATCACTAAGGTTAACAAGGACAGAGGCATGTTAACAAGTCTCAATGTCGGGTAATAGGTGGAAACTGGTCTTCACATTTAAACTGACCTGGCTTCAAATCCTAGCTTTGCCACTTAAGGTTGGTGTGACCTGACCAAAATTCCAAAGTCAAAGGACAAAGCAGAGCTTAAGAGCCCTCATCTGTAGTAAATTTAGGTTAATAGCTCCTACTCTTTACAGAGATGTTGTAAAGAAGAGGGAGAGCTGGGCATGGTGGCACGTGCCTATAGTCCCAGCTACTCTGGAGGCTGAGCCAGGAGGACTGCTTGAGCCCAGGAGTTCAAGCCCAGCCTGGGCAAAATAGCAAGACTCCATCTCTCAAAAAAGAGAAGAGAATTGATGTAAATCACCTAAATATGAAGGTATTGGCTGAGATAGGAAAAAAAACCCAAACTCTTTTTCTTAGTCTCAAACTCAATACAACACAGAACACTTCTGTGACCAATATGTGAAGAGTGAGGGGTTACCTATAAACAAAGCAATTCTCCAGGGAACACCAAAAGTGTCTTACAATTTAATTCAATTCCAACACTACCTGGAGACAGCGGCAGACCCCACAGATCAGGGATCAGTTCTACAAGACTGCCCCCTACTTCAGATGCTAATTGCAAATTGTAGTAACCCAAACTTTTGTCTGACTTGGCTACAAACTGGAATCCCCATGACCCCTTTCTCAGGCTCAATTAATTTACTGGAGTGGCTCGCAGACTCAGGGAAATGCTTAGTAATGTTTGCAGGTTTATTATATTAATAAAGGATACGATGAAGGATACAGGTAACAGTCAGATAAAGAGACACAGGATGACATCTGGAAGGGTCTAAAGTACAAGAGCTTGTCCCCATGAAGTTGGGGTGTGCCATCCTCCCAGCTTGAGGATGTGTCCACCCACCAAGAAGCTCTCCAAACCCCATACTTCTGAGACTTTATTTTTGGAGGCTTCATCACGTAGACATGGTGGATTATTAATCCCATTTCCAGCCCTTCTCTCTTCTCTGGAGAATGGGTGAATGGGGCTGAAAGTTCCAAGCTTCTCCTCATGGCTTGATCTTTCTGGTGACCAGTCCCACTCAGGAGCCCAATAAGAGTCACCTCATTAAAACAAAAGACACTCCTATCACCCAGGAAATCCCAAGAGATCTAGGTACTTTGTGCCAGACACTCTTATCACTCTGGAAATTACAAAGGTTCAAGGAACTCTGTCAGGAAACAGGGTCAAAGACGCAATACTGAAACAAAAGATTCTCGCAGCAAGCCTATCTACCCAGTCTCAGAAACTAGAGGCAGAGACCAATATATGCATATATGTTTCTCATCTTTTCACGTATTAAACAAACATTATTCTCCAAAAAACAGTGGACAGCACTATTATAGAGGGCAAAAAGAATTTTGCTGTTTCCCACTCCACTTTGAACACTGGTACAGCTGGATGACCTTGAGATGATTCTTGATCCTTTTTTCCATGTGTTTGGAAGGTACAAAAATACGTAACAATCCTTGGAAGTCCCTCCACAGAAGATTTAACTCTATTAATAGACTTAATTCCTGCCTCCCAACTCTCTTATAACGAAAATGCGGAAAGAAATCAAGTATAACATTCAAGAGAGGAGAGGGTTAGGTAAATTATCTAGCGGCCAATCAATAAATGCCACTGTAATTAAGACCAGTAAAGACATGCAAAATTACAATACAGGGTTTTCCAAAAGCTCAACCTGAACCCTTGAGCATCCACTGAAAGTCCTTTCCCAGAAGTCACATATACACATTCTCACTAGTAAGGGTGCTGATGGTTAGGAAAACAGAAGGAAAGGTCAAGAAACATGGCTAAAACACACCAACTGATTTAACATCAACAGTGAACTCACGGGAAATGTACATTTGTGGATTCCAGCTCTAACAACAGAGCTTCCTACTGGCAATAGGGGCGGGACATGGACCATGAAACAAACTGAAACCCAGTTACATGTTTTCGATATTACAACATGCCATTTGTTATGGAATAACTTAGACCCTTTTTAAAGGTATCACGTGGTAAGAAACATTTGATGATATTTAGCAAAAATGAGGAGACAACAGCCTGTGCTGTTGATCAGGATTTTATTTTTTATAGAGAAAAGCTAGTTTTCAGATCTTCCATGATGGCCTCCTCTACCTTCCTAATAATTCTCAACTAATCTTTGACTGAGGATGCACCAAAAGCACTGAAAACAGTAACCCCCTCCCACCCCCATCCCCGCCCCTCACCCGACACAAGGAACTTCCCTCTTTGCTTCCCCATCTTGAGAATGTTCTACCGTACCTACCATAATGGTGTGTTCGGGAAATTTGGCACGGACGAGTTTCACGAACTCCACAAAATGTTCCGAATACCCATTGGCCACATCCAGGCAAATAAACTTAACCTGTGGCAGAGCTTCCAGGATGCTGGTCATCTTTTCCAGATCGTTCTGCCCACTGCCCGAACTCACAGCTATGTGCTGTACCAAAATAAATCAAGACACACAGACATGAACAGAAGTCTTCAGAAGTCAGACTATGCCTCCATCCAGGCATCTACTCTGGGGACTGTTCAGTGACCCTTTGAGGTTTACCCTGATCGAGTACACAGTGGACCTGTTCGAGAAAAACAGCAGAGGTAAAGAATATTTGTTATTAAATCATTGCAGTTTGATCCTGTTATCTTTCCCACCGTGTATGTGTATGTCCTTAAACCTGGACCTCAGCCAGCCACAAAATCTTTCCAATAAACAGATTCCTAAATATTCAGGAAACCTTGTCCTTGGTGTCTATTTCATTTCCTCAAGCTTTCTGTGTGGAACTCCGGACTCTGTGAAGCTACTGGTGTCATATCACGGAAACTCAAGCAGGACAATGATGAAGAGTTGGAAAGAGTTTCCAGGTTGGCCACACAACTCAGGCTTCCTTACACCAAAGCTGTGGGGTTCCCCTGCACATCTCTGGGTGACAGAGTCAGACCCTATCTCTGAAAAATGTAAAAAATTTAACCATTCGCTTCTGTTAAAGTTTGGCACAGGGAAATTGAGGTTGGTTCATTTCTCTCAGTGCTACTATAAGTTTTTAACATTTTCCCTTTTTCATAAGCCTTTTACTTGGTGGGGGTGTGGAGGAGAGAGAGGAAGACGCCTAAAACCTCTCTGATAAATTCCTTCCTATTTTTATTTTATGCCCAGTAAAAACACATGCAAATCTTAACCTGGTCCAAGAGCTGTGAGTCTGATTTCCTGTTAAAAGGGCAAAATTTCCCAAAGGTATTAGCACAAGCAAATCTGACATGGTCTTCCACAACTGTACTTGCATATCCTCCTCCGTAACACCTTTTCCCTCTAATCTCCGCGGTACCAGTGGCCTAGAACCCTACAACTCTGCCATCTCTGAACCTCTGCCCTTTGAGAGGGGACTTGTTTTCTGTAATATATGCCTTAGTGAAACTAAGTCATGGGTTGTGCCTAGAGTTATATCTCCTTTTATGAGACTATGTATATCTTAACTCTTATCTCTAAACCCTTAGCCACAGATGAAGGGCATAGCTTAATATCCTTCATGTCGTTCCCCAAAATCATAACACTGTAGCTACAACCCAGACACTGAGTGTGCGCTGACTGTTAACATGATATACATTCACTACAGTTTCCTCTGCACATTCACACCCTGGCCTCGCAGTCCAAGGATCTGCCATGCACCAGTCCAACCCATACATTCTCTCCCTCCCACTGGAGCTTTGCTACCTTTTTAAATTTAACTGTTCAGGCCAGGCACCGTGGCTCACACTTATAATTCCAGCATTTTGGAAGGCCAAGGCAAGAGGATCCCTTGAGCCCAGGAGTTTGAGACCGGCCTGGGCACTATAGCAAGATCTTGTGTCTGCAAAAAAATCAAAAATTAGCCAAGCGTGGTGGCACATGCCTGCAATAGTACCAGCTATTGGGGAGGCTGAGGTGGGAGGACTGCTTGAGTCCAGGAGTTGGAGGCTGCAGTGAGCTATGGTAGCACCACTGCATTCCAGTCTGGGTGACAGAGCCAGACCCTATTTCTGAAAAAAAGTAAGATTTAAGCCAGGCTCCGTGGCTCAGCCTGTAATCCCGCGCCTTTGGGTGGCTGAGGTGAGTGGATTGCCTGAGCCTGTGGGTTTGAGACCCGCCTGGGCAGCGAGACCTCATCTCTACAATAAATCAAAAAATCAGCCGGGCGTGGTAGCGCATGCCTGTAACGCTGGCTACTTGGAAGGCTGAGGCGGAAGGATCGCTGGAGCCCAGCAGGTCGAGGCTGCGGTGGCCGGGAGCGGCCACTGTACTCCAGTCTGGGCGACAGAGTGAGACTCCAACTCAAAAAAAAAAAAAAAAAAGTAAGATTTAACTGTTCACGTCGGTTAAAGTTTGGCGCAGGAAACTCGAGATTGGTTCATTTCTCTCAGTGCAACTAAGTTTGTAACATTTCCCTTTTTAATTAGCCTTTTATTTGCTGGGGGTGTGGTGGCAGGGTAGTAAATCAAATGATCACACTTGTTAATGAAGGCCTGGGCTCTAATTAATAACACATTGCCAAAAGCTTGCTTTAAAAAGTCAGAGGGAGAGAAGCAAAAGGAAAGAGAAGATCATTGCCCCCAAACTTGCAACAAGAATGAGGAGAAGACAATGAAAATAAGTATAATGAATTTGAACACTACATGGCAGAAATGAAGGACTTACTATTGAGTCAGAATTATTTTATCTCCAGAACCACCTTCTAAAGCATCCAAATCCACACTGAATTAAAGCACAGAAACAACAAGAAACCAGGGACACCACAAAAGCAGTCTGACATGAAGCCATTTTCCAACGACAAGTGACCTGAACGGAGAGGAACAGCTCTAACTCCAAGATGCCTCTCCAACGACTTTGCACAGAACCACCTGAATGTGGCAGGAGGAAACTAAGGCATGTGGCAGTGGGGCTTTCTGTCGTTGTTTTCAAAAATGCCTGCTTTTTTAAAAGCGTTATTGAGATATAATGACATACCATTCATCCAAAATGCACAATTCAATAATTTTTAGCATATTCAGAGTTGTGTAATAGTCATCATCAATTTTAGGACATTTTCATAACCCCACAAAAATATTCTCACAACCCTTAACACCCCCAACCACATTCCCTCATCCCCTCAGGCCTAGGCAACCACTAATCTATTCTATGATTCCTACAGAACTGTTCTGGACAGTTCATATAAATGGAATCAAATATGTGGCCTGTTATGTCCGGCTTTTTCACTTAGTGAAATGCGCTCAAGCTTCATCCATGTTGTAGCATGTATCAGAACTTCAGTCCTTTTTACGGTTGGATAATATTCCATTGTATAAATATATACCACAATTTGTGTATCCATTCATAGGACATTTGGATTGTTCCTACTTTTTATGATTATGAGTAATGCTGCTACGAACAGGCATGAACAAGTTTTTATGTGGACATGTTTTCTGTTGGATCTATACCTAGAAATGGAATTGCTGGATCACATAACTCTTCTACTGAACCTTTTGAGGAACTGCCAAACTGTGTTCCTAAGTAGCTGCGACACTTTCCATTCTCACCAGCAGCATGTGAGGGTTCTAATTTCTCCACAACCTTGACAGCACTGATTATCTGTCTTTTTGATGACAGACATCCTAGTGGGCATAGTTTACACAACTCCAAAACAATTTGTCACACTCAGTTTTTTTTTTCTATGTCCAAAAGACATATTCAGACTAGATCCACCTCAAAATGCCTGGCAGGAAACACAGGTCTTCCCCGAGCTCTCGTGACGTAACACTTCACCTTTCAAAGGAAAATACAGACATTTCTTACAGGTAAATCCTAGTATTTTCGTAATATGATATGGAACAGGGTTCTTCAGCAAATCCATGGTAATGAGGCAGGACTGGAGAAACACTGAATTCTAAAAGCCTATGTGATGCTGATTCAAATCCTCTTGACAACCCTAAAGATTTTGTTCCCCCTTCAACACTTGTAATTTATAACCAGGCTGTAGTCGTACCTGCAGGCATTCTGCGTGATTTGTGGCAAAGAGCTTCCAGTCATCCAGGGAGTAATGCTTATGAATTGCTGTAAACATTGAGTGCTAGGAAACAAAACAGCATCATTAGGATGAGAAGCCAAGAGCCCACCCGCCCGCGTTCCCTCCCGGCCTCCATATGGAGATGCTGATCCAACAAGACAAAGGCATCCGGTGTTCCTGCCATTTACGCTTAATTTGCTTTGAATATGTTCCTAAGAGTCAAAAGAGTCAAAAGCAGACAAAGGTGCAACTATTGAAATCAGAGACTGTGTCCTCCATTTTAATCTGATTAGACACTACTGCATTCAGGACTTGGGAGGCTCTGCCAGGAGGAAGGGGAAAGATAAAGGAGGGTTCTCAGAACCCTGCCCCGGCCCACCCAGGCTCCCACCCACACCTGAGTTAAGCCAAAACCAGCCCAGATGGTCAAAAAAGAAAACTATGCAGCAGGGATCCCCCTCCCCCAGGAGAAGGGCCCTCCTAAGACAAAGTTCTGCTTAACCAACTCTAAAGAACCTCACCTTATACCTGAAAGCTTTTCCTTGTGTTCACAACCTGAACACTTCTTGCTAAAAGCTAAACCTACTAGGCAGTCAGCATTCTTGAAGGAGGGAATTATAAAAATGATAACCCCAAACCTATAACTATCAACCCAGTATTTACTACCTGCTTTGTGCCAGCTCTTTGTATAATTTCATTGAATTCTCAGAACAACTTTGAACAGTATTATTAGCATCATGGGCAGAAATGGAACTTAAGAAACATACATTTATTAAATTTAAGAATTAGGCCAGGCACTGTGGCTAACGCCTGTAATCCCAGCACTTTGGGAGGCCGAGGCGGGAGGAATGCATGAGCCTAGGAGTTCAAGATCAGCCTAGGCAACATAGTGAGGCCTCATCTCTACACAATAAAATCAAAAAATTAGCCAGGCATGGTGGCGCATGCCTGTAGTCCCAGCTACTCAGGAGGCTGAGGCAGAAGGACTACCTGAGCCCAGGAAGTCGAAGCTGTGGTGAGTCATGGTCGTGCCATTGCACTCCATCCTGGGTGACAGAGTGAGACCCAGACTCAAAAAAAAAAAAAAGGAATTGCTTGGCTAGTTAGAGGTGAAGGCTAGAACCAAACTCTGGTCTGACTCTGGAGTGCAGGCTCCTTCCCCTAGAACAAAGACCTCGCACCTGACTTCTCTGGGCTGCCTATTTTCTATTCACAGTTTCTCATTCTAAAATTCTGTTAGCCTGGGCAACATAGCAAGACCTCAGTTCTACAAAAATAAAAAATAAATTAGCCAGGTGCGGTGGTGCGTGCCTACAGTCCCAGCTACTTGGGAGGCTGAAGCAGAAGGATAGCCTGAGCCTAGGATTTCAAGGCTGTGTTGAGCAATGATAGTGCCACTCCACTCCTGCCTGGGTGACAGAGTGAGACCCCCAACTCAAAAAAATAAATAAATAACATAAAATTCTGGGACTTTATTAACTTGCACTAACTCTGTGGATCTGAAACAGAATTCACAGTCCCCACACATGGCCAGTTATGCCAGTGTATACTATCTCATTATTGGGGAGATATTCCTGTGCAAATAGAAAGAGCACAGCAAGTTCTAGGTTTCTGGTGGACTAATAATCTGTGAATTACAGAATATTTATTGCTCCCTGATTGCCCCCACTTTTCCACTAATACATAGTTAATTAGTAGCAATGGATGATGACAAAGAACAACAACAACAAAAAAAACACCAGTTTCTTTGGCAATTAACGCATAAGCCTCTGGTCCAAAGCTCGGTAGGGGCTGAGATCTGACAGACTATCAACTATCACAGAGTCAGACAGACCACCCCCTACACCATTTGTGGAGCTCATAATTTATTTGAGAATCTCCTCCTTCAAATCACTGGCTAATAATGAATCCCAGTACCTCCTGTGGTTAGACTTGCTGCCCACAGCGAGAAGCTCTTTCAGCTAATTGGATTTATCTTTTCACTTGGCAGGCTTTAAAAACAGAAATAGACACAAAGTCCCTGTGTGCATCCGTGCAAATGTTTCACATCTAGGATGTATAAGATGTCCTGTATCTTAGACATAGCTGCAGGAGACAAAGGTCCTGCCCATAAGTGGTTTTTTCTTTATTTTTACCAAAGCCAGGATACTAACTACTCCTTTTATAGGAAACTGGACTGGTAATTAAATGAAAGAAACTTCAAGCTTGTACCATCATCTGTCAGTTTAAGTTGAGAGGCAAATCCCTTAGATTCTGGGGTCAGTTTGGGTTTGAATCCCAACTCTCTCTCTTCCTGGCTGAGGGCCTGGGGCAAGTAACCTACCCCTTCTCTTTCTCTCTCTCTGCCTCGGTTTACTCATTTGTAAAAGGAACCTACCTCACAGAGTCATGTCAAGAATGAAGAGACACATTATATGTCGTTTTGGGCACATAAGTGGTCAATACACGTCTTCTATATAATTATGAAATAAATGCTGTAGCAATGTCACTCTTCTATAATATGGTACTTGTCGCGTAGTCTAACGTTTTTTGTATCTCTAATTTCCAAAACCATCACAGGCATTTTCCCAAAATAAATGGGTGCAAATCTAAACCATCTCATTGAACGCAGAGACCGTTTGCTTTCCGACTGAAGAGGAAGTGTCTCTGACAACGATCACACTCACAACAGAGAATGACTCAAAGTTTCTCCTCTTCCCTATGTCTGAACAAGGCCAGGATGAGCTCCTGACAACCTATCCATATTGTAAGCAGCTAAGGAAAACAAAAGCCCACTAACTCACCTGTGACATCACGGCTGCCATCTCAAACGTGCCCACAGTGTCCATGTTGGCCACGATGATGGGAATCCCTGAGTAGGTCTGCTTTGAGTTTCGAAATGTAAAGGTACACTCAAGATCCACCTGTTAGTAAAAGGGGAAGGAAATGAGTGCTTTGCTCACATGTGACCCATGGACAGTTTCTGGAGTTCGGAGCAAGTGGGAAGAACGCAAAGGAAGTATCTGACCCTCTGGCCCCAGAACTGTCTTGGGGTCAGGCCAGGTGCTCCAAAGGCAGCAGAATTCCCAAGAAAACCAGGTAATGCACTATTCAGGTGTAAAAGCTGAGGTGAGCCCCTCACCCTCCTCAAGCACCAGCACAAGATACCGGAACTTCTGCCATAGAGACAAGCCTCTGAACCGGATGCTCTCTCCTCCTCTCCTGGCCTCTCCAATCTACTGTCACCTTCTCTCCCTAGCCCTAACCCCCACATTCCTGTTATCTTTCCCCACTTCCAAGCCCTGGAACACTGCCCTCCTGGAAAAAGTTGCTGCACTATTCCCTGCCAACCACAGCCCTGCTCCCAGAACAATGCTTTCACTTCTTACCTTTCACCTAAAGCCATACTCCAAATCCACCTAGCAGCAAGTGCCACACTATTAATCCCTTCGCCTTTCGCCCTCCGGGGCTGATTTAATTACAAGCATCATTCAAAGAGCCTGGGGGAAAGTACACTGCAACCATATGTTCCCACATAAAAACACTTGTTCCTTTGACTAGCAAACAGCTGGAGGGAGGGCCTTCCAATTCCACTGTAACTTCAAGATCAGGACATGCATGACTAACTGCTATCAGGAAAACGAACAACAGCTCAGTCTCAGAGGGTGGGCTTGGCAGCAGCAGTGTGCTAGGGTCAGGTACTTGCCAAGAGCCAGCACAGTCAGAATTACCGCTTTGACCCACAGCAGATCCCAGCCTATTTTGCCCACAGATCACCCTAGCCCTGCTAGTATCACAGGGAGGCCACTTCCTATGGGCTCCATCTCTCAAGGTCATTTTTGGCTGGGTTTGGTCCATGGAGGACACTGGGTAAGAAACTAGAGGATAGCAGCAGAGGTGGGGGGAAGTTAATTCTTCCAGACCCCCTCTGCTTGGGGCCAGCATCTCCAGAGCAGCTATGTCACCTCTAGGCTCCAATTCTCTTACCAAAGAGGCCTGCATGTTCCTGGTTCCAGCTTTCTCTCTGTGAGCCCAGTCTTTCCGGGGGCTCTAGAACTCTGACCATCCACCTAGAACGGGAGTGGTTTCTTGCTGCTGTCCATCTCTGGGATGCCTCAACAGCCCATTTGGCATCTCAGGTGTGCCAGGATGCCCTGCATTAAGTTCCCTGTTTTAATATTGTTGGTAAATATTGTTTGTTTCCTTGAGTAGACCCTGATGGACATTGACCACACTGGAAGCAGGGGAACCAACAGGAGAAACAAGCGTGAATCTTATGCTTCTCAAATCCTGGCTTCACACATAGACCAGCAATGATCATTTTCTTTTTTCTTATTTTTTTTTTGAGATGGATTCTCACTCTGTCCAGGCTGGAGTGCAGTGGCACACTCAGGACCACCCTAGTGTCGACTGCTGGGCTCCAGCAATCCTTCTGCCTCAGCCTTCCAAGTAGCCAGAACTACAGGCGCGTGCTACCACGCCCGGCTAATTTTTGATTTATTGTAGAGTCGGAGGTCTCACCAAGTTGCTCAGGCTAAATCATTTTCTACCAGTGTTTATCTAGATCCTTCTATTTTTCTTTTCAATGGAGACAACTTTCAATTTGCAGTTGGCATCAAATCAGAAAACACCACAGGACACCTCAAGTCCTTTAGCCTTCTCGTTTCTCTTGCTTCTCCACACAGGGCTCTGCATCCAGAAGGCTTCCTGGGTAAATGATGTCACCATTATGACTGCACTAGCCTTAAACGGCAATCAATGAGGGGAAATGAGATGCTGTAGCTGCATGAGCATATGTGGTAGCTCATTCCTTTCTCCACTTCCTTCCTGATGACTCTTGGCTCTACTTCAGTGCAGCGAGTTATATCGACATTCTAAAAGAGAACTGAAGGGATATGTCTGTCGCAACCCTCTGCGCAGCTAATGGCTCTCTAACATGTTGGCTTCACAAGCCTAAAACAATCAGAAATCCTTAGTCTCAAATTACTTGTACATTCCTCCAACAGGCACAGGGCTAGCTGCTACATGAAGCACCCGGCTGAGATCACAATGGGTTTTTCCTGGCACTCCAAAACCTATCAGCAGGACACCAAACACAGAGCTCTTCATGGAAAAGGGCAGCCTTGACAATGAACTCTTCCCGTCACTTCTAGTCTTCTCCATAAGGCAGCTCTTTGCAATCCTTAATTCTAAGAATGAGAAATAAAATGGTGTTCCCCAACCTTATCCACCCAGACACACACACACACACAACAGACCAGTTGCTCACTAAGAGAGATAAATATTTTAAATATTCCAGCCTCCCAGGAACAAAACTTGGCATTTAATCTGGCACAGCTGGCCACTGCACCAAATATAGTGCCTCCAAATTCCCCCTCTAAGCCTGACTTGAAAGGGAACATAAAGTAACAAAGTCCCTTCCCCCACCTCAAAAAACATGTGTTTCTGCATCTAACACACCTTCACCAATGTCAATTCTACTGCCCAATATTTTAGGGGCCCAGAAGTACAAATGGAGGCACACCTACCACATTCCTAAATAACTCAATGTTATGAGTCAAGCTAACAAACTGCTACATAAAATATGTTCTATCCTCTTACCCTAACAAAAACAATTTTATTCATAACCAGGAAGGCACCAGAACACGGTGGCGGGGAATCTGGCCCTCGTCCCAATTCTTTATGCACACATACAGCAACACGCCAACCTGTATACCCACATTCATTCCCATGAACAGTTGCCACCTGGCCACTCTCTGAGGTCACAGGCAAACACACCAGCAGCACAGGTGGCCCCTGGGGTAACACACTTGGGCAAGAGGCCCAAGTAGGCCTTGGAATCAGCTGGAAGTCATCTGGAGAGGGGTATCCAGGATCCTGAGTACCAAGACCTCGTATCTACAATAAATAAAAAGTTAGCCGGGCATGACAGCAGCACCTATAGTTCCAGCTACTTGGAAGGCTGAAGCAAAAGGATCATCGGAGCCCAGCAGGTCAACACCAGGGTGGCTGTGAGCATGCCACTGCACTCCAGCCTGGGCGACAGAGTGAGACTCCAACACACATACACACACACACACACACACACACACACACACACACACACACACAGCTAAGGGGTGAGAAGGATACTGTGTTCTGGCCCCCAGTCTTCTGCAGAGCCAGGCTTGGCAGACTGCAGCCTAGCCCTCTGAAAGTGGATTTGACCCCCAGAAGCCTCTCCACCAGTCCGAAAAGCTCCCACCCAGCTGCAGCATGACCGGCAAGATTCAGAGGCCAGCACACCCATGGCACACCCGAATCGTCTTAGAAGAGATTCCAAAATACACATGCTCCAGTCACTCCAAACTTCGTGAATCACCCCCTTTGTGTGGAAGACAACATGTATATTTTGGAACGTTTCCCTAGGCAATTCTGATGCATTCATGACTAAGAACAACTCTAATCAAGTCCTCAAATTTTACAGAACAGAATTTACAGGCTGTTGAATTATGGGTTGAATTGTTTCTCCCTCTAAAAAGATTTTGTCATCCTAACCTCCAGTACCTGTGTATGGGACCTTATTTAAAAACAGGGTCTCAACAGATGCTCAGGTTAGGATGAGGTCATTCAGTTGGGCCCTAACCCAGTATGACTGGTGTTCTTATAAAAAGGGGAAATTTGGACACAGATACACGCATAGGGAAAATATTACGTGGAGATGGAGGCGAAGATGGGGGTGATGCATCTACAAGCCAAGGAAACCAAAGATTGACAGCAAACCAGCCAAAGCTAGGAGAAAGGAATGGAAGATTCTCCCTCACTGACTTCAGAGGAATCAACCCTGATGACGTCTTGATCTGGGACTTGTGCCATCCTGAACTGTGAGACAATAAATTCTTTGTGCTTAAGCCATCAAGTATGTGGTACTTTGTTACAGCAGCCCCAGGGGGCAAAGGTAATAAAGGTAATAAAATAATCAGTAACAGAGTTTGGGCTAACTCGGGTCTCTTCTCTGGCAGTCACTCTGCCATGCTGTCACCCCCTCGGACCACCTTGTTGTGGACCTTAAAAGTGTCTCTTCTGAGCCAAGCTCGGTGGCTCAGCCTGTAATCCCGCACCTCTGGGAGGCTGAGGTGAATGGACTGCCTGAGCCCGCGGGTTCGAGACCCACCCCGGCAACTTGGAGAGACCTTGTCTTTACAATAAGTCAAAAATTAGCCGCGCGTGGTAGCGTGCGCCTGTAGTTCCAGCTACTTGGAAGTTTGAGGCAAAAGGATCGCCGGAGCCCAGCAGGTCGAGGCTGCGGTAGCCGGGAGCGGCCATTGCACTCCAGTCTGGGTGACAGAGTGAGATTCCAATTCAGGGCGGAAAAAAAAAAAAAGTGACTCTTCTTACTGGACCACTGGTGAAAAAATTACTGTGGAGTTTTAAATAGACTGAACATCCATCATGTCTTCTCTGTCCTAGGACAAAGGGGGACTTCCACAGTTAGGGTTGCATTAATAAGTTGTTGTGTTTTGTCTTGTTTTTTTTTTTTTTTTTTAACTCTTCATAGCTTAAGGACTAGGATGGGACGTTGTAGCCAGGAATAGGTCCCAAGGAAGAAAACACTCAGCAAGAATTCAAGTTCCCCAGTGTATCAGGTAAAAACCAAAGGCCTTGCCTCAATCAACAAACATCACACATCACTCCTGTGGAAAGCTTATCTGAATGTCCCTGCATAAACCTGTGATCCTTCATCCTTCTGCTGGAGAACCCATGCTAAGGCCACCTGGGCCACCGCTACCTGTACTTGGGAGTTGACCTCAATTTCATTTCATTCATATTCATTTACATGAGGCTTGTGGAAATGTCCCTACAGGAACACAGACACTTCTGAGTGGGAGGTCACTCTCTCTCTTTCTCCCTTTCTCCATTTTCTGCTTACTGTCTCATGATCCATCACCAGGCCTGGCTCTTAGCAGAACTGTCGGGGTGATAAAGTTTGTCATCAACAGTCAAAACACTCCACCCCACTCTATTCCCGTGGTGTCTGTTCTCTCTCTTGGCTCCAACTCAAGCCCACTCTGTTAGGCTCAATATCGTCATTTTACTGTTTAGTTTCCAACTTGCATCCAGGTATTACTTCTGCCAGGGTGCACACATTTTAAGCTTCTGATGGTGCAATGCAAAGATTTTATCTGCCTAAGAGAAATTTCAGGCATCAACAAGCAAATCGAGAAAACATTAAGAGAGGGGATTAGAGAGGCCTAACTAGATCCCTCAACACCACTGAGGCAAGCAAAGTCAGATTATGGAATGGTCAGCCTCGTGATCCAGGGAGCCAAAACACCGCAGGAACCAATCAGAAAGGCGAGACCAGTTAATCCAGGACTCCAGGCATGTGGTTGGCAACTCCCACAAAAGTGAAAATACGAAAAAGATTTCTCAAGGGCACTGAGTTCTCACAGCAACATAGATTGTAAGGTGCCACTGGAAACTGGAACAACATCAATGGTTGCAAATCAGACCATATTGTGAAATCAAGAGTAGCATGACGTCGCTGCACGGCATCATACTGTTCCTGGGGGACGAGCAATCCATTCCAGTAATTTTAAATGCTTTGCCTTCTCAAGATGTTTTCCAATTCAGAAAACACATAGAATATGTCCTTATTTTGAACATATAATTTCTTCTGAAAAATAAGTTTCTCTTTACTAAATAACATTCTGACTACTTAAAGAATGCGGAGACCACATTATTAGTGCACCCAGAATCCCCACATTCGTCTTTGCCTGGCCTAAGGTATTGCCCTCAGCTTACCAAGAGGCCCAGGCCTGCCCTCCACACAGTTTTTGTTCCAAGAGTCTCCCCCCCCACCTGAAAGGACACCGTAAAGGACAGGCGCGGGGTCACCCTGTCTGGGGAAGGGGTGAACCACTCCTCCCCCATCTCTTCCAGTCCCGCCAGGCTCCAGTCAGCCAATGCTGCTGCTTAGAGAAGGGGACTTGGTGTAGTCACTGGCCAGCGCAGAAGGCTTCTTAATCCAAACAAGTCCTCGGCTGGCAGCACCAAGCACTGCAGTGAGGCCTGGCACCGAAGTGGGCAGCAGAGTTCTTGACGAGGGGATTTATTTATGGTCTTGTTTGCGGAGCTGGGCGGATAGAGCAGCGCAGGCCGGCTCAGCCACCTCCTGTTTACTCCTTCGGCCCTGGCCTCCGGCCGCGTCCAGTTTCCCCGCCTTCCTCTGGAGCTCTCAGCAGACCGGGCCGAACCAGTCACCAGCGCACACCTCCCCAGAGGACTCTGCCTTTCTGTGCAACTAGTTTATCCTTCAGGGGCTGACCTCCCTTCCCCCATCCTCAGGCTACTTCCAGCCCGGTCTCCACCTGTTCCTCAGGCTGTGAGTTCATCAAGGCAGAACCAGCAAATGCCCCGGGCTTCCAATCCACCCCACCTACCGCACTGCAAGTCGGCACCCCAAGGCGTTCAGCCTCGCCAAAGCTGGGCTGGGACCGCAGCGTCCCCAAGCCCCAGCCCCTGCAAGGCCGCCTAAACTCCGAAAAGTAGATCCTGGGCTTGTGCCCTGGAGCTTCCCGGTTTTTCAGACCCGTGAAAGAAATTCCACGGCGGGACCTCACGTTAAAGCAGCAGCAGTTCGCAGCACTAGGCGACACCGCCAACAATCACGAGGATCTGTAGCTGTTCTTCTCCTCCTCGCGCCCCTAGCTCCCCGGTTTCTCCCCTTCCCTTTACGCGCCCTCCCACCCCCCGTTATCTATAAGCCAATCGGCCACTTGCTCTTTGCTCCCCCGGGGTCTAGTGACAATGTAAATTTCCCCCTTAGTCACTCAAGCCGACGAACGTCTTTAGAAATTCAGGTCCGAGCTGGGCCCTTTCATCACGACCCTCAGAGACAGCTCGCCTCCCGGCAGGGAGCCGGCTGCTCTTCCGCTTGCCCAGGCGGTGGGGACGGGGCCAGAGAGCGCAACACCCCAGCCTCAAACACACGGAAAAGCTGGCGGATGACCTCATGCCGCCCCTCCCCCCCCTCTCCAGCGCCACCCGGGAAAAAAAAAAACCCAGCCCCACTGCGACTTCCGAACGGCCCCCACCTCGGAGCGGCTCTTGAGGCTGCTCCGCTTAGGTCGGAGCAGGACGTCTTTGAAGTCGAGCTTGAGGTCCGCGTCTATGCGGGGCATGGTGCCGGCGGCGCGCTGCGGCCCGGCGCGTCTGGCGCGG